CGTAATTATGTATGTGCATTAGGAAAGGGTGATGTACACCATTTAAGACCCGAACATCGGTCTAGTTGATCTCAATCACGAACGGCCCGGTTAAGGGCTTATCAACTGCGATTGTCATGATGGACTCCCGCCTCTTTCCATTCTGCTGTCCGCCACCCAAGAAGGTGATCTTGGACACCTTGAGCGGCGTGCTGTAGCCGAACCCGCCATCAACCGCAACTTTGCCGTCCTTGTAATCGAATGTGACGTGGGTGATACCAGACTGCTCCAAGCTGACGCCATCGTCGAGATACAGCTGGCCCTTGGCAGTTCCATTCCTATTTACGGCAATGAGAAGCTCGAAGTTCTCTTCCCTGAGCTTAGTGGTCGTCATGGCACTATTGGCGCGCAGGGGCAGCACGGAGCCGCCGCGGATGAAGAGCGGGATTGTGGTGTAGTTCTGCTCAGTCAAAGAGACGACTTCGCCCTTGCCCTGGATGGTCTCATGAGTGTACCAGTCGTAGAATGCGTCGTCGGGGAAGTAGACATCAACAGACGTGGAATTTTCCTCCGTGACGGGTGCTACCAGGATCGAATCGCCGTAGAAGTACTGAAGATCCAGTCCAAACGACTTCTCATCCTGAGGGTACAGATAAAAGACAGGGTTGATGACCGGGGTGCCATCGATTGTCTGCTGGTAAACGGCCGTGTAGATGTAGTCGAGCAGGCGGTAACGGATAGAGATTGCTCTCCTGGCGCTCTCAGCGACACTGTCCCAGAGGTAGAATTCTTGAGAGATGCTGTCAAGAGAATTGTGGTTGCGGTAGAAGGTTGAGAAAGCGGCCAGAGCAGCCCAACGAGCGCATAGCTGCTCGTTGGTGTTGTCACCGAATCCGCAAGCATCAGAGCCTACCATGGGTACCTGGTAAACAGAGGCGAACTGAAGGAGCTGGGAGATGGAGATCCGGTAAAGAGACCAGTTGGACAGGTTGTCACCTAGCCAATGCCCAACATGAGCACCGGCACCGGCAAAGGTAGAACGAGTGATAATGAGGGGACGGAGGCCGGGGCGACGAGCCTCCATGGCGACGCGAGAGGCTGACGACATCATGGACCCATAAAGGTTGTGAGTGTCATACATTGTCAGACCGTTCTGGTGAATCACGTCTGTATTGACCGTCTTGTTCGAAATGCCGCCGGCAGCCGCGTTTGACTCTGTATCCCATGCCGCCTTGTTGTGAATGGCATACTTGGGGAACAAGAGATCTCTTCCTGGCAGACCTTTCTGGTCACCGGATTCTTGTCGCTCGGCAAGAATGAGGTTTTCGAACTTCTCGCTGAAGGGCAAGGTTCTTGGTGATACATTCTGGGCCAAATCTGAGCGCTTGGATTGACTCGAGCAGTTGGTGGTTCCCGGTGGCTGGAAGTCGCACGGCCAGCCAGGCAAGGGACGGGGGTTTTCTCTGACTGGTGGCGGGTCTGGTGGGAAGCCAACGGCAGATGCGTACGGGTCGTCGCAGGGGAAGTAGCATGGGAAGTTGGACGGCTCATTCATGTCGATCCAGAGAGCATCGATATCGACGCCGCTCTCGGCTGAGAAGAATGTGGCGAACTCGTTGTTCCAGTACTTGGTAATGTTCTCGGAGAACCAATCGGGGAAAACAGATACACCTGGCCAGACGACGCCGATCCAGACTGAACCATTGCTGCGCAACAGCCAGATGTTGTCCTCGATACCTCGGAGCATCGGCTCATATTGTTGGTAGGCCACGGCAGGATCTACCATAACAATATAGTGTTGATCATTCTCGTGCAGTTTGTCGACAAGCTGTCGCATCTTTTCGAGAGGGTAACGGTCGGGGTCCAGAGAGAAGACCCTGGTTCGAAAGTCAGCAACACCGGGGTAATCTCTTTTCAAGTGTGACTTACCTGCGTCGATCCATGTAATCAATGTCAGTCCACATTGTCTCCAAGGGGATCTCGGCTACACTGTAGTTGTGAACAACCTCGGCGACATCGAAAACATCCCGGTAGCCGTAACGACATTGGTGGAATCCGAAACCCCAGTATGGCATCATAGCAGGGAGCCCAGCAACTTGGGCGTATTGCTGTGTCACTTCGACAGGAGAGGGTCCGGCAACGAAGTAGAAGTCGAGGACTCCACCGAGAGTGTTGTACTGAAGGTATTGTCCGGACTCTTCCGTCTTGTTGATGAAGACATCCATGCCATTGGAGTTGAGAAAGAAGACTCCGTGTGTGCCAGTCTTGCGATGCTCATAGTAGACGGGATGATTTCCGTACAGGTTTGCGCCTGATGGAATGCCGTAGGAGTCTTGAGACCAGAGAGTGCGGATATAATCTGTCGTGTTCAACCGGAAAGGGTCTGAGTGCTCGCCCAGGCCATATAGGTTGGGATTGTCGGGCAGCTTTGTTCTCAGACGAAGGTATTGACTCTCGAAAACGATGTTGGCGCCAGAAGTGTCGAACAGGACCTCGCCAGTGTCGGTTCTGCTGACCGAAAAGGCGAAGGGGTTCTCCGTGTAGTTGAAGTGCAGCTTGGACTGCGCCGCATCAACCCCAGGGCCACTGGGACGGGGAAACACCGACTCGGGCACCTGATACACCGTGTTGTTGGCATCCTGGATCTTGACGTGCAGGCGAGTATCTGGAAAGTCTGTTAGGCACTCTCGGACAAAGGCTGGGGCTGTTACGAGCTGTCTTTTATCTTACCAGTCTGGTATTCGACAGTCAGTGTCAGATCCTTCAGGTCGGTTCCGTAGGCGTCGCACGGCTCTCCAGCGAGGGAAAGCTGGGCAGTCAGGCCGTTGGAAGATGTCTGGACATTCGAAGCCTGATAGCCGGGACATTCCGCAAGTGCATCGTCGCTCGGGTAGTCTCGTCGGATCACAGCCGCTGAGACTGCCGTGGTCAGCAGCGCAAAGATGGAGAGGTGTCTCGCCATGGTGAATCTCGGGCTCCGAAGGTGCTGGCGAGCTTGGCTTGAGAAGTGAGAGGACACGCGAACCCGGCTGGAAGGTAACTTTTATACTCGTGGTTGCTTGCAGATCGCTCTAGGTGAAGTTACATCGGCAGGGAAGGTAAGTGAACCCCGCTGGGGAGGTAGAAAGCTCTTTCCAACCGTTCATCCCGAGAGCTCGTACTGCAGGGTAGACGCAAAGCTACCTCACCACTTTTCCATCGTACGGACATGCCCGCTAATGAAAGCCGCAATTAGCTTGTGGCAGCATGGGGCAGGCGCATAAAACGTCATCCGGACCTTCATCTGTGGTGGCCAGGACTCCCTGGAGGTTGGGCTAGCATTCAGGGGACTAAGGTTAATTGGTGAAAATGTCTAATTGACAAGTGGTGTGAGCGAGTAATGGAGCGAGGTAGGGCCGTGTGCCGTCAGATTTCAAGACCGGCCGCCAGCTTTCGCATCTTTCCCCGCACTCGAATTCCGAGCCTAGGAGAAATCAGCAAGCGTGACGATGAGCTGCAGTGTGCATCGCGTAGATAGCATGCGTAAACCGGGAGAAGTTGGAGATGGCAATGGCCGATGGGATGGATAGCTGGGGGCGGGGAAGACTGAGTGTGGTTCCAAGCAGCAGGGGGGAGGTGGAGGGGGCAAGATGAGCTGCCATTGGCGATGTCAAGCGGAGAAAAAGCAGTGTTTCGTTTCGTTTATTTCTTTCCCGGGGGGCCTGGATCCTTGGCCCGGTTCGGGTGCAGCCAACGGCCCGACTGGTGGCTTGACCGGATGGCGGGGGACACCACTGAGACGACGACAACAGCTCGACTGCCCCGCATCACCCCGCATCCGCAACAGAGCCGGTGACCTTCAAATCGCCCCGGCTCAGAGGGCGGAGACTCCGCAAGCTTATATTTTGGCCTCCAAAAGTTCTGGATCGTAGACGTGTTAGTGACTGTGGTCATGTCCTAGCTACACCCCGGACAACCACCCATGCGGTGACCGGCCGAGTGAGGGTTCGCGCCGGCCAAACTGTCGGGAGGATCATCTGCATCCACATTTGGTTGAGGCTCAGAAGGGTTAGAGTGGATGAAAACCCAGCTGCAGACGGATCTGGCGCCTGTCAATGACTGACCAGCCTGATTAATTACTAGAGACATTCATATTGACATCACCGAGGGTGCTCGGCTTGGTGGTTGCTGAGACAAGATAGCAGTTCATGACCTTCGATTCGCGCTCGCTTTGAGTCCTTCGAGACAAATACCATTGTTGAAAATAGTTTACCGAAACCTTTGGAAGCAACTTGCCTCTATTCCACTCTATTCCATGATTCGAAAAGCCCAATGAAAGTGCCTCCCAAGTCAAAGACTACTTTGACTCCAACATGCTAGTCATCAATGAAAGCGCTGTAGTAGTAGTTGCTCTCTGAACCTATGGTCACTCCTCATTGTAGATTTGGTAGGTCACTCGCAGCCTTAAATGAGAACTTGGACAGCAACACTTGATGGTTCCTGTCACAAGGTAACCACCTTTTGAAGCTATCTAGCTGGAGTTGAGGGCTTCTTAGATCTCCAGACTCACTTGACGATATGGGGTCTCACTGAGAATCCAGTCACTGCCTTTAGTAGAGAATGTTCCGTGCTGAACCAAGCACCACCCTTCTCGATATCCATGGATCGTGAAGGCACTCACCCGACGACATAATCAACTCTTGGTGCCAGTGAGCTTGGACCGGGAAGCGCCCGCAACCTCAAGATGGCACCAGAATATCTTGGACAGCAGGAGCTCCTCCGAAACATAGCTGAAGAACAATCTCTGCGTGCTTCATCTCACCAATCTCTCTGCCTCTTGTTCACAATCTGGCCAAGAAAAGCCACCAGCACACAGGCAGCTTTTGAAACCCCAGAAGTTGAGCCTTGTACTTGTGTCAAAGCCCTTCGTCTCCTTGGAACCCCCTTTTCCCAGAGGTAAGCTACCTTCAAGATGAGAGGTCCCTCTATGCTAATTAAATCCCAGTTGAGCTTCCCAGATACCGGCAAAAATTCCTACCAAGATGAGCACCGACGGCACCGATGGTGGCGATGGAGTCTGTCGGAATCTGTGGCCCGCCGGCGCTCAGATGGCGAAGACGGCGGAAGATGACAACGTAGAGGATATAATTGCTGCAGAGACTCGTCAGCAGTATGGCTCGTCGCCATTCTCGGACAGCGACTCTGCCGCAGACTTCAATTCGCAGAGCAGCACTAATTGCACCGTCACTGGCCGCCGCATCCTCAAGCCCGTCTCCCGCAAGGGCCGCGCCGGCAACACCAACAACAATAACCCTGAAGTTTTCCATCGAGGCAGCCACAACAACACCTGGGTCCCTAAGGGATTCGTTCATGAAGACGCCGACGTCTTCGGCACCCCTACCACGCGTGGTGCTTTTGGTGACCAGTCGACTCACAAGGCTACGCGTACTCAGCCGGGCAGCGAAACCCCTCGAACTTCGAAAGCCCTTCGACTCCACAACCCTGTGATGACTCGATCTGGTTTGGAAGGCGACGAAGGAAGTCCAGGCGCTGGTCTTATTCTCGACTTCGAACCGAGCCCGAAGCACTATCTTGCTCTCGGCATGAAGAACAAGATGCCCTCAAACCCCGAATGGCGCCAAACCGACACCCCGGTCGTCACTCCGCGCAAGGCAGGAAAGTCCATCGAAGGTGGGCGTGTTCCCGACCGACCCCAATCAGTCAAGACCGCTCCTCCTGCCATGTCAGCCCCCGGAAATCAGCTGTTCGTTCACGATCCCATGGAAATGGAGGATGATTCGCCTTCCCTCCGCCCTCTCCGTCGCCAATTGGGAAACCTCAAAGTCTCCCAGCGCCCACCCGAGCAGGCTGGGGTTCGTCCTATGGACACTTTCGTCTTTGCACACGGCGCCGAGCTTCCTCAAACGCCTACCAAGAGAGGCCGAGGAGAGTTTGACAGAACTAACTCCCTCTACGGAAGAGATGTTGCTCGTGAGCGGGAGATTCTTTCGCAGTATGCCGTCGCGACTGCCCCGGGAGAGAACCACGACGAGGATGAGGATGAAGATGTCGAAATGGGCGAGGAAACGCCCAAGGCGTCAATCCTCAACAGTCACCTGCAGAAGAAGTGAATAAGGCGGGCAGAAGCTTGGCTACGGTTAGATTGGAGAGATGGAGTGAAGGAGGGAAGGAGGGAAGGCTATGAGGACTGGGAATTGGAGAAGCCGAACTCTTGTTATAGTATCATCTCGTTTGTGTTATCGATTCCTTCCCAGTTTTATCTTTGTCCACCACTGTTTCCAGATGCCGTATCATTGTTGGCCGAGAGGTGCAGTCGTTGTTGCATCAACCAATTTATGCAAGCTCGAAAGCAGGATTTATGCACAGATGCGGCTGCACATTGGTTTAGCCGCTCCTCCCTAAGCACCCGCACGGATACAGCGATATCACATCCAAAAAGCGTGTCCTGCAGCAACACACCCCCTTCGCCCTCCACACCTCCAAACCCAAAACGGCACGGATCTCTAGAGTAATTAAGGTACCTTCCACGAACGAGCGCTTCACCCACCTCAGACAAGCTCCACCTCCAAAGGCCAGTCCAGCGCTTCTTGTCCCCGGCTCACGTCCGGAACACCTCACAGCTGCCTGCCAGTTGCGACCACCAGACTGAAGGCCATGAACTTTCCCGCTCCTCCATCAACCACTGGCGATCTCCCCCTCAACCCGATCTCCAACGCGTCTAGTCCAGCTGCCCAACATTTCAGTCAGCAGCAGTACCAAACCCAGCAGCAACAGCAACATCAGCAGCAGCAGCTCCAATTCGCTATCTCGCGCCAGCAACAGCAACAGCAGCCCCAACCACAGTACCACCCGGCGCCGCCAAATCCATCTTACGCCGCACCGAGCCCCCTCACACCCGCCCAGCAAGCCCTCGCCCACGCACAATACCAGCAGCTCGTCCTCATGAACGGAATGAACGGCGGCAACATGCCTGCCGGCATGGGCGGCGTGCCCACCCCGGCAGGTCAGCAGGCCGAGCTGAACTACATCTACGGCATGGTCGAGGAGCTGAGTCGGCAGCTCGCGGAGAACCGTCGCGTGACTGAGGATATTGTCTCTGGTCTCGGCAGGGTACGCAGCCGCGCAAGGACTCAAGGCGTAAACAACGATGATCTGATTCACAATGCCGCCGACGACATCAACGGTACGCACGAACACCCAGGGGCTTGCTCTCCCCAGGCCACGGGCTCCGCAAAGATGCTGACTTGAACGCTCGCAGCTCAAGAACAGAACCTCGATACGCTGATATCTATCCTGTCCGAATCACTCGAAAAGGCCAAGTACAGCCGAGACGCCAATGCCACCCTCCTCGCACAATACGCCACTGTACTCGCCGCGATGCTCAAGCAATTCCACGAATACAAGGCGAAGCACGTCACCGACGTTGCCGCGTGGCACCGATCCTACCGCTCCCAGCTCGCCGAAGCACGCGCTGAAAACAGCAGGTTGCGGGAGCAGATCTGGGAGATGCAAGAGCGCGCCGGCAAGGCCAACGAGCTGCTGCGCACGTTCCGCCGCAAGTACGATGAGGACGAGACTAGGTGGGATCGGCGCGTTGAGGATGTTGCCGCGCGCCAGGAGCTGCGATTTTGGAAACGGATGGCCATGCCTGAGGTCGGCGATGAGGATCCTTGCTGGAGTGACGACGACGATCTCATTGACTCCGCCGAGAAGGAGCGTCTAAAGGAGTTGGAGCAGAGGGCTGCCCAAGAACAGCTCGCCGGAAGCCAGCAGATGGGTGACGAGTACTCACAACCCCAGTCCCCCGAGTCAAGCATGATGGGCGGTGTACCGATGCAGAGAGATCTGGGAGTTCCCATGGGCATGCCAGTGCCCCCGCCGCGGCCCTCGAGCGCGACTTCAAGCACAGGCTCTTCTGGTCAATGAGACTGAGGAGGTTTGGTGAATCTTTTGAAATGCTTTGTCGACACCAGGGCCAATGAATTATTCCAAATAAAAAGTAAACGGCGTTGGGGATTGGGTCTGGGAAGCTGGAACGCTCAAGGGTGAGCGGTCGCATTATACCTCAAGTCACGTTTGTCATGCATTACGATGCACCTGGCGGTCATTGTCACGAATACTATGGAATGAATGAACCGTCTTTGTGATAATTATGCACCAAAGTCTGTTTATACCAGTACTGCTGCACAAAACGAAAACTCCGTTTGGTTTCCCTGCGGGAACACTTAAGACTGTCAAACCCCGGTACCCCAATCGCGAACAACTAAATGGTCTTCTAAATCCCACTCGCAAACAATGTCACTTCTCGACTACTTCGACACGCGTCGGCTGCTCTAGATCCGCGCCAGACCTATCAGCAGTAAGGCGAAGGCCGTATCGCAAATCTACCTCCTCCAGAGGAATGAGCAATGGCTTCTCGGCCTTCTGGATAAAGCGCTGGTAGAAGCGGTATCCAAAGTAAAGGAACGGAGGAATGACGGTGCCAATGTTGTCGCGGACAATGGCTTGGGCTGAGTATTTGCCGCCGACGGGCATCGCAGCGGTAATGACGTTCGCCAGAAGACCGAGGATGCAAACAAGCAGGCCAACCCAAGCCCCCCAGGTACCGAAAGGTGTTCGCCACAAGAGGGTGGCCTTGTCGTGGCCCTGGGCCGCCCATGCTCTGCGGAAGCGAATGTGGCTGAAGCAAATCGAGGCCCAAGTGTAGTAGTTGCTGGCTCCCGACAGACTAAGCAGCCAGTCGAAGATAGCTTCACCGCCCTCGGCCAGGTTGACGAAGGCGAGCAGGCCGACTAAGAATGTTACCAAGAAGGCATACACCGGCACACCCCACTTGACTTTGGCACCCCATTTGGGGCCCATTCCCTTCTCGCAGAGAGCTTGGAAGGCTCGACTGGCGGCGAATATGCTAGCATTCGCCATTGATATCAATGCAACGACGATGAGAACATTGAAAAAGTCGGGAAGATGTTTGACGTTGGCGAGCTGGGCAGCCAACGTGAACGGGCTGTACTTGGCACCATGACCGGTGGAGGCTAAATTTGGGTCGTTGGAAGGGACCACGAAACCAAGGAGAAGAAGAGCGACAATATAGAAAAAGAAGATCCTTGCAAACACAATCTTGGTCGCCAGTGGTAAGGCCTTTTGCGGGTTTTTGCACTCGGCTGCCGTCAGTCCAAGAAGTTCGGTACCTCCGTACGACATGCCAGCAGTGCGGAAGACCAAGAAGAATCCAGCCACGCCATTCTTCACGGCACCAGGGTTGACCCAATACTCGGCTCCGGTTCCGTGTCTAGAATTTGTTAACATCCGTTGGCCTGAACTCGTGAAAACTTCTGCTTACCGAGGATCCGTTGGCACCGCGCCGGCAATGATGAAGATAGCTGCAAAGATAAAGACGGCAATAGCGAGTGCCTTACCGATGCCGAAAGCATGCTCGAGTTCGCCAAACCAACGAGATCCGAGAAAAGACGAGCCCGTCAGGGCAAAGAGAATCGGCGTGATCACATAGGCTGGTCGCAAGTCTGGAACCCAGTACTTGATCTGAGCCGCGATCGTAGTGAGCTCAAACGGGAAAACAATGAGCCAGTTGAAGACGAAGTTCCACCCCATGGCAAAGCCCCACGGCTCTGATATCATGCGCCTTGAGTAGTCGTAGAATGCGCCAGCGACAGGATAGGAAGCTGTGGCTTCTCGTCAGTATAGAGGATGGAGAATGGGAAGCGTTCAACTCACCTGCAAGCTCGCCGAGACAGCCCATTGTACAGCCAACGCCGAGGCCGACAAGGGCAAAATTGAGAACCAAGTTCAGAGGACCGCCAGAGCTTAGAGCAGCACCGGAACCCACGAATAGACCAGCTCCAATTGAGCCGCCAAGAGCTATGAAGACCATCTGCCGAATGGTAATGTTTCGCTCCAACTTCTCGCCCTCCGCGGTAATGGGCGCATTGGTGGCATCTCCGCTTGTCGTACGAGTGGCGTGGGTGACATTATCGAGGTTGCTGGCCGTCTTTTTCAAGGGCGATACTGGGTCATTGAAGGACATGGCTCTTCTGATGATATGGTGGATGAGACGAGCGATGGGAGGAAACCCGGCGACTCGGTGGGATAAAACAATAACGTTTTGTTGTGAGGTTCAATAATGATCGTTGGGCACAGAACGGGGATATGAACGATCGAAAACGTGAAAGAGAGATTAAGGGAACAGAGGTTCAACGAGGATGTCGGCTGAGTTTATAAACACGACCTGATTGCTACAAACATCGTGGCTTTTGAGGGGAACCTCTGGGGAAGCTGCGGGCATCCCGATAGAGAAAGGTGCGCGTGATCATTCTTCGCGTCGTAGATTACCTTGCCCAACGAATCACAGATAAGGCAATACTTGTCGAGGACTCACGCGGGCCACGTAAGGTTCCGGCAAGGCAGGTCTGGCCTCAAAGAACCTCTTCCGAGTATTGGTCAAGATAGGCGGACGGCTTATCTAGACAATATATGGAAGGAGCGAGACCGTGATGGCCACTACCAGTCACAGCTTCGTCAACCATGTTGTGGCCACTTGATGTGATTGACCGATATGCAGCCAGAGACGCAAGCCTATATCCCACGCTTGTTGCCTTTATATTTCTTGTGCCCTGAGACAAAGGACAAATACTCATCTGCTTCTTATTATAATACATAAGCCATGATGAACGTCATATCATCCTGTCGCAGCTTCCATTCGGTATCTTGGGGCGCATGGCTTGCCAAGGTTTATAGGCTTGAGCTTGGGGGCTTTGCGATAATAACAGTGTCTGATGATCAGCCTTTGCTCATTTGGGTTGTGCGTTCATGGTCCTTCTCAAACACCTGGATGAGTTTGACTGAACTCAATTTAAGGTCCATACTTCTGCTTGCGCGCATGGCGCAGTTGTGGATGAGACGTTCAATGTACTCAATGGATAGATACCTTCTGGTCAACACGTCATTGTTCGTATGATAGCCAGCATGGCCTGATTAGACATTGTCGCCCGTGGAAGACAGGTGTCGGTAGGTGAGTGATTTGGTAATTCATGTGGTCAAGGAATGCCGCGAGCATCAAGACGTTCATGGTTCACAGAGTCCCACGACTGGTGATGCGGCGCGCTTGGTCATCTGAGTACATCTCCAGTTCATTGTCTTGTGTACCAGGAGCCGGAAGGATCCCAAGCCTCAACTAAAGCCCGCGCCAGAGCTACCGTCAAATTAACGTGCGTCATGCCTCGCAGTAACTCCTCGTTCAGATAAATGCCCCCCCCCTGAATTCCATATTATACAAGCCTGGGCTCAAGACTATGCAATAGTGTTGTTACCAGGAAGGAAGTTGTCGGTTCAGTAACCGCTTTGCTCACGTCGGTGGCCATCATCATCATCCTTCGATCCATTGGCGGCCTCCCCTGCGTCTTTGATGGCCTGCTCATCGCCCCTGAGTTTAGCGAAGTAGGACTTGATGTCTTCCGCGCCGATGGCCTGACCGCTCTCAGCAAACTTCTGGAAGAACGGCTTAAGCTGATCCTTGAGGTGGTTGTAGGCCATGACGCCCTCAATGGCCCGAACCCGATCTACATTACGCAGGGCGCTCTCGCCACGCTCGAGAAGACTTCCACTGCCATTGGTAGAACCGCCGTGCTCTGAATTGCCATCATCGGACAGGGGTGGCTCGTAAGTCTCTTCCTCTTCAAGAAGCTGAGGATGCGGGTCCAGCTTGGGGTAGCACGACGAACACTTGCAGAGATGGTCACGGAAATCCTCCTTCAGGAAGAGCGAGAACTCCTCTGCAGGTGGCGAGGGCAACGCTTCCCACTTGCAAGCAGTGGTTGTTTTGCTGGCTTCTTCCTTAACGTCAGGCTCGGCATTGTCGGGCTGGCCGTCTGTGTCCTTAGGGTCGCTCTTCAGTCGCTTAACATCAGATTCGGAGCCGTCATCATCAGCCTTGCGTTTCTTGGATGCCTCTTGCGTTACCGCATCTGGAGCCTTGTCGTCTTGAACTTTGTCGTCTTCAAGCTTCTCCTCTTGAACCTTCTCTTGAGCCATCTGGCGCGAGAAGACGGCGGGCAGGAAGCCCTTGGCCCCAGCATACTTCTTGATCCACGGGTTGGCGTTGACGCATTTGTAGCAGAGGAAAGCTTCGAAATCATCCTCTCCAGGGAAACCGGGCGGCATCGGCACATCGTCGTCATCGTCTTCCTCTTCTTCCTCCCCATTACCAGGTGCAGCTGCCTGTGTCGCTGGCTGAGGCTCCGCGTCTTCGGAGATTGTGGGCAATGCTGGCTTCTCACGATCGCCTCCGTCGATTTTGGTTTTTGTGTCTTTCTTCATGCCCTCAAACCATTCGGGTCCCATACCGACTAGACATCCGGGATGGTACCAGTCCTCACCACAGCCACCAGTCTCAGCCGTGCCCAGGCCTAGGCACTGAAACATGGTGCCTTTCTGCTGAAAGGGATCGTAGTCGCACTCGCATGCACAGAATCTGTTCCTAAAGTTCTGGTTGTACTTGTTGTTTGCGGCCGGCTCTTCAGAGTGCACTCCACCTTTAGTATTTGTCGTAGGGTTGACTCGCAGGCTACACGGGCTGGTCGCAGGGTATCGCGTCGTACCGCAATCGCAAGTGAAGTCCCTCTTTGTGAAGATTTCAACGAGAGTATGTTCGCCGTGGCATTGGACAGAGCAGGCGTAACAGACGCCAGCAGGGTTATAGGAATCCTTCGGGTTGGCCGGAGGAGGATTGCAAGTAAGGCAGGCGAAAACGCTCTGTCGAAGCGAGCCCAAAATCTTGGTGCAGTTCTCGATGCTCTGTAGGCAGATATAGTTAGGCATGCTGCTTCCCAGCTACGGGTTGAGTGACGTGACATACGTATGGGAGCGCTTCGCGCGCATCAGCCTCCAGCTGCATTTGGTCTCGGATGAACCTATGAATTATGATCAGTTTTCAAGGTTTTGATACGCGAGGTAGATGGTAGGAACGCACTCAGCAGCGGTCTGGGAGTCGCTCGACTTTTGCGAAGAGAAGCTCTCACTGCGCGCAGTCTTTGGCGCATGTGCAGGCGCATCAGCGACGGCCGCAGCATCGCTGGATGGTGCTGCGGTTGGCGGCTGGGGCGGATCCATTGATATTTCGGCCAATTCGAAAGCGAATCAAGTGTAACGAACCAAATCGACGGACCGCAGGCAGACTTTTCCCTGGGATTGAAGATGGGAGATATAGTTCGGAGTGTGGTGTTGTCAAGACGGCAGTAGGGCAAGTCGCGTTGGTCTGAGGTAACCTGTAACTGTAAGATAGGTACGTCAGATACGTACACCGGGACCTGAGCTCAGCTTCTGGTGTCCGCTGCGACAAGCCCTTGCAGCTGCCCACACTGTCAACCCATTTACGCGTCGTCCAAATGAGGAAAGGTGCCACTTTACGCGCTCGCCCCTGATCGCGTTTCTTCCAGGGGCGCGACTGGGTCCAAACTAATTTCGCACTCCAAGTGTTCCTGCCCCCTCTTCCCCATCTCTGCAATCCCCCCTCTCCTTCACCGTTGCCCAGTTTCCTCTCGTCGCAACGCTTTTTTGTGCATTTTACAGCGAAGAACAGCACATTCGAATGCGTTCTGTGACATCGCAAACATGAGGTGAGCCTTTTTATGACACCGTTGCCTCCCCGGGAGTGGTTGCTCCACTGTTGCCATGGGGAAGAAGAAAATCATGGCTCACAACATCCAGTTCCCCCCTCCGAAGCAACTACAGCTCCGCCAACAGAGGAGTCCCCGAGCGGGCGAGTCGCAAGCGTGGTCGTGGAAATGGTGACGATGGCACGTCCTCAATCGCAGCGCCTTCCAGCCCCTTGGCCTCATCTCCTCCTGCCCCGTTCGTTGCTCATGGCGGTGACGATGACGAGGACATCGAGGACGACCCCGAGATCCTCGATGACCTCGACGACATGGACGAGATGGCCGAAGACGACGTAGACCTTTTCCGCGAGGGTTTCGAGCGCGATTACAGGGCTAAAGAAGACGATCGTTACGAGGGTCTCGACATCGACGACGACGGCGACTTTGATGACATGGACTTGGGTGCAAGGAGACGACTCGAATCTCAGCTCAACCGCAGAGACAGAGAAGTTGCCCGCCGCCAACGCATTCCCGCCGCGTTCCTTCCCGGTGAAGACGATGAAGGTGACATTGATCTCTCGGCCCAGCCCCGCCGTCGCCGTCACCACTACGATGAAGACCCTGATGAGGATATGGACGCCGACATTCTGGAGGAGGAGCTTTCCCTCGAGGCTTTGCAAGATGCGAAGGCTGCTAGTCTGACCGAATGGGTTTCACAACCGAACGTCCAAAGGACCATCAAGAGAGAATTCAAGGCCTTCTTGACGGAATATACCGACGAACACGGCTCTTCGGTCTACGGAAACCGCATTCGCACCCTCGGTGAGGTCAACGCCGAGTCCCTTGAGGTCTCTTACGACCATCTCTCCTCCTCTCAAGCACTTCTCGCCTACTACTTGGCCAATGCTCCGGCAGAAGTCCTGAAGCTCTTCGACGAGGTCGCCATGGATGTCGTTCTTCTGCATTACCCCGACTACGAGCGCATCCACTCGGAAATTCATGTGCGCATCTTCGACCTGCCTGTTCACTACACTCTGAGACAGCTCCGTCAATCCCACTTGAACTGCCTGGTGAGGGTCAGCGGTGTTGTCACCAAGCGAACTGGTGTCTTCCCCCAACTCAAGTATGTCAAGTTCGATTGCACCAAGTGCGGTATTACTCTAGGGCCATTCCAGCAGGAGTCGAATGTTGAGGTCAAGATCTCCTACTGCCAATCTTGCCAATCCCGCGGTCCTTTCACGCTCAACTCGGAGAAGACGGTCTACCGCAACTACCAGAAGCTCACTCTCCAAGAGTCTCCTGGCACCGTTCCAGCTGGCCGTCTGCCTCGTCATAGAGAGGTCATCCTACTATGGGATCTCATTGACAAGGCCAAGCCTGGCGAGGAGATTGAGGTCACCGGAATTTACCAAAACAACTACGATGCCCAGCTGAACAACCGCAACGGATTCCCTGTTTTTGCCACCATTTTGGAAGCAAATAACGTCGTCAAATCTCACGATCAGCTGGCTGGGTTTCGCATGACGGAAGAAGACGAGCAGGAAATTCGCAAGCTTTCTCGCGACCCGGCTATCATCGATAAGATCATCAACTCCATCGCCCCTAGCATCTACGGTCACACGGATATCAAGACAGCAGTAGCCTTGTCCCTCTTTGGCGGTGTTGCTAAGGTTGGAAGGGGTGCCCATCAAGTCCGTGGCGACATCAACGTTCTGCTTCTTGGTGACCCTGGTACCGCAAAGTCCCAGGTTCTCAAGTATGTTGAGAAGACAGCACATCGCGCAGTTTTCGCAACTGGCCAAGGAGCCAGTGCCGTCGGTCTGACGGCCAGTGTTCGTCGGGATCCCATCACTTCCGAGTGGACCCTTGAAGGCGGTGCTCTTGTATTGGCAGACAAGGGCACCTGCTTGATCGATGAGTTTGACAAGATGAACGACCAAGACCGTACGTCAATCCACGAGGCCATGGAGCAACAGACCATCTCCATCTCAAAGGCCGGTATCGTCACAACTCTGCAAGCTCGATGTGGCATCATTGCCGCAGCTAATCCCATTGGTGGGCGATACAACTCAACCATTCCTTTCTCGGCCAACGTCGAGCTTACTGAGCCAATTCTTTCTCGTTTTGACATTCTGTGTGTGGTTCGGGACACTGTGGAGCCTTCGGAGGACGAACGTCTCGCTCGTTTCATTGTCGGATCTCACAGCCGCAGCCACCCTGCATTCTCGCAGCCCGCCGCGGACTCAATGGATGTTGAGCAGGAATCCGAGAAGCAGGACACGCAAGCTGAGACGCAGAAGAAGGAAGGCGAAATTCCTCAGGAACTTCTCCGCAAGTACATCTTGTACGCACGCGAGCGTGTCAGTCCCAAGTTGTACCACATGGACGAGGACAAGGTCGCACGTTTGTTTGCCGACATGAGAAGAGAGTCTCTTGCTACTGGCGCGTACCCAATTACAGTAAGTATCCCACGATAGGCGACCAGAATCTCTGCTAATTGTTGATCAGGTGCGCCATCTCGAAGCCATCATCCGCATCAGCGAAGCTTTTTGCAGGATGAGACTGTCAGAGTACTGCTCAGCGCAGGACATTGACAGGGCAATCGCCGTGACGGTGGATAGTTTTGTTGGCAGTCAAAAGATTAGCTGCAAGAAGGCCCTGGCTCGGGCTTTCGCCAAGTACACCTTGGCAAGACCTGGTGGAAACTCGCAAAAGAAGTCGGGAATTGCCAGCCAAGGATCAAGGAGAGCAGGCACAGTACGAGCATAAGAACGAAGAGGCGAACTATTTTGGGGTTATGATTCTTTGTTTATGATGCGATGGGCGGAACTTTTCAGATGCCCAGCAAATCAGGCTGGCGGCGACTGGCGAAGAGGCGAAGAGCACATGCCTGGTTCGGGCAAGGTTTGATAGATGACATTAGGTAATGTGAAAATGGCTGATTTTCTTGTCACAATTGCTTGCGCCAGGGGCTGGCCAAAGGAAGCGCATGATGATGGACAAACGTTGGACGAAATCCGATGACAGCGGCAGTCCGAGTCTGATGACAGGATCGGACGAGCAGCCTCGAAACGGAGGGTTCTATGCGGAAGCTAAGGTAAGCTTAACGTGGGGATGATGAGGAGGATTGATTAGTCCCGCATCGAAGGCTAGCACGGACAAATTTAGAAACGTTTAAAGAGCTGCCTGCGCTGCGGGTGACTTGATGTGTCGATTTCGTTGACCAGCTACATACACAGCCTCAATTCGCCTAGCAGTTCCTTTCTTTGCGAGAGTTGGCTGCATGGCCTCCCAACACGCATACAGCAACTGCCAGACATGTCGCGGTGAGCGGGCATGCAGCCCAGGGCACGTTTGAATTGATCAGAACCAAGGCTCGCGTACATGAAGCGTACCCCGGTCAAGTTCAGGTGCCAGAGTCTCGGGTCTTGTTTGGTAGTATTGTGCATTTTGTTGCTCCAACACGCACATGGCTCGGTGGCTGTGTGCTTTAGCAACCAACAGCAATGGAAACCCGTCTTCAGATATCACTCCACTGCCTCCTCTCCCTGCGTCGTCGCTGACAAGGATCAATGATTGCTTCAGGAAACCAACCCCTTCTCGCTCTCAGCTACGCCGCCCGCAGCGCCCTGTTGCTAGATCCCTACTTTGCACCAACATCAGCACCAGCACCAGCACCACAGCACCGATCTCTAAGATTCTAGGCACGAGGCCAGGATCCCCATCGATCCCACGCAGATTAAGTCACTTTAAAGGGTTGCTCATCTGCAGGTTTCTAGGCAGGAGGAGGAAGTGATCCCCAACATGATGGGTGGGGGGCCAGCCGCATGCGACGAAAGAAGTCTTCCGTCGCCGATGGACAGCCGAGCCCGCAGCTGCGGCGTTGACGCCGGCGACTAGATCAGTTTGACCAGTTCTCCGCCCCGAAGGATCAACTCTGAAGAACCTCCGTCGTGCCCCTGCTAGCCGATGCTCTTGTCATGGCTGTTTCTCGCTTCCTGGCTCTTATACCACTCCCCTTCTTTCTACAACCTTGGTCCCACAAACCCTCTATCATGGCAGCATTTCCTCCCAGCCGTTTCACTCCTCGTTCCAAGTTTTCTCCCTAATACTCTGATTGTCTTTCTTCCCTGGGGCGAAACTGTGCCTTGTTTCCGAACCCGTAAACCGCAAAGGGCCAACCAGACGACGACAAACAGACGGAAACCTGATTGAATCTCAGACGTATGCGCCCTCCCGAGTATCATATAGAGCTACTGCTTTGTCCCTTCCCGTCGCATCTGTACCACCGGCGCCGAGATCACGCAACGCGAGACACTCACTACGGCTTCATCGCAGACTAGTGTCCGCGCGCTCCCCGACGATCGTCACCCCTTACCTCCACGAACATTCCAACCCGTCCGTTTGGCGCCATCTGTGTCCCCTCGTTTGCCAGCTCGCAAGCACAACAGCCCAGGAGTTCATCCCTCGCCAAAAGGTCCAAGCAGGATTCTGACATCCAGCCGGCCCTGCAGC